GTCCCAGCTCCCGCTGGACAGTCCCCAGTGTGACTCTGAGTCTCCTGTGGTCCCAGCTCCCGCTGGACAGTCCGCACTGTGACTGGCTTCTGCCAGGTGGCTCCTGCCTCGTAACCCAGTAGCACCCAGCCCCACCAGTCTGAGGAGTCACAGCTGATTACTGCTGTGGCTAATCCCTGGATTGTCTTACTGTCCCCTGGTTGGTTTCTCCGCTCTTCTATCATTTAAACTCATTCCCAAAATTAAATTACCTGTTTGTTAAGACCTAGACTGGTTTCTGTTTTCCATACTAGACCCTGACTGATGGAGTCGAACCATCTTTCTGTGTTTTCTCGCATGTTGTGTGAACACAGTAAATGCTCAGTTATAATGATGTTAATGAAAAAGGAAAACCAGTTTATCCAAAAGAAGTAGTGCTTTGCTCTGTTCATTTACTTTATAAGTCAAGCTGACTAAAACTACATATTTGTCATAACTGAAAAACAGAAAGTAGAAACATTTGCCTGAGTTTTTTTCTGAGGAGTCAGCCTTGAACCTTTTACTCTGGTGTCAAGAGTGGACCCTTTGATCTTGAGAATCTTTTCCATCTTTATCAACCATGACTTTATCGTGGGACGAATCTGTCTTGGTTTGGGTGGGGCTGTGCTTTCTAATCGCAGCAGAACGAGCCCAATGCCGTGTCGCTGGTTTTGCACACGGTGACTTTGGTGACGACGCTGCACCCTTGGCTTTCCCATCACAAGCCTGGTTGTTGTGACCCGCAGTCCTGTTCATATGCCAGCCCCTGTTCTTGGCCTCCACACAAGGATTCCCACAAGGGTTCCGTTTGAGATGGTGGTTTCCAAGATTGGGGGTATCTGCTTGCTAGCCCTGGATTTGAGACCACCAGCTTGTTTTTCCAAGCATTAATATCTCAGTGATCTCCAAACATATTTTCTTTTCCAGAATGCTTTCCAAAAAGTTTGTAAGAATGTCTCTAAAACTTTTCTTTTGAAAGCACCAGGGCCTGAGGGGAGGGGGCAAGGGTAATATAAATTATAACTTGGCCGACTAGTATTTAAAACTTTATCCAAAAAATATTTTTCTCCTTAAAAAAACCACCTCTTTCTACATATTTAAGTAATTCATTTGAGAGAAATAACCACTCAGCTATTCACATAGCCAGCCCTTGGCAGCTTCGGTTCAAAATGCTCTGAAACCAGTCAACTACAAAGTTTCAGAGGTTTTCTTTGAAAGCTCAACTTAACCTGCACTACCACGGTGGTGCAAAAAGTGACAACTCATTTTAAAGATTCTCCCCTTTCTCTCTCTGTCTCTCTTCTGCAGGCCGTGTGTTTACACCGTGGGGTCTCCCGTAAACAACAGGGCCCTTTTTCCGTGCCAGGAGCCGCCCGTTGCCATGTCAACATGGCAGGCTACAGTTCGAGCAGCTGCATCTTTTGTTGTTTTAATGAGTGGGGAAAATTCTGCCAAGCCGACGCAGCTTTGGGAAGGTACTGTACACGTGTTCTCTGCTTATGCATGTGTTGCGCACATGCTGGACCCAGGAACCCAATAAGCAGTGTTTTTCTGAACTTTAAAGAGCCCCTTTATTAGTTGGGTTGGAAATGAACATACTGTAAACCATCCTGCCAGAGAAAACAAGCAGGGGATGGGGGGACGCTTAGGAGCCTGGGCATGGGACTCGGGGCGCTTCAGACTCGAGTTGTGGCTTCATAGATTATTTCAGCAGTGCTTTCACCTGGTGGTGTGTGGGCCGTAAGTCGGTGGTCTTGATTGAAGACTTTCTGGACAGGCAAGTGTATCGTGGAAACACCATTACAGTTGAGTTGTCTGTAGTTTGTTATGGTGTCTGCACATGGCTATTCATTATGTTAAGAGGTAGTGCTCTTGCTGGCTGGCCCGCTGGAGTTGTCCTAGTGAAGTATCTGTTCTACACATGGTTTGCCTGTGTGACTGTATGAAGTTCTGAACCGAAGGTGGATAAGAAAGACGGAAGGCATACTAATGCATCGTCAAGGTGTTGTTTATGAATTGCTTCTTATTGCAGCATTTAACTTTTTCAGTGGAGATCCTGAGCATGTCGATGCCAGGAAAAAATGTATTTGTTTATTTGAGAGACAGGGTCTCGCTCTGTTGCCCGGGCTGGAGTGCAGTGACTTGATCACGGCTCACCGCAGCCTTGACCTGCCAGCCTCAATTGATCCTCCCACCTCATCCTCCCAAGTAGCTGGAACTACACGTGCATGCCACCACACCCAGCTAATTTTTGCACTTTTTTTTGTAGACATGAGATTTTGCCATGTTGCCCAGGCTGGTCTTGAATGCCTAGGTTCAAGCGATCTGCCTGCTTCAGCCTCCCAAAGGTGTGAGCCACTGTGCCTGGCCAGGAAACATTTTTATAGTTATATTATTTCTTTATTTAAAATATGGCATCTCCTCCCACATGTTTATTATATAAACTTTATATAGAAAACTAAAAATAATAAATTTAAATAATTATATAGAAAATTATTGTTAAGATTTTGTTACATTTCCTTTCAGTATTTAAAATCTGTATGATTTGTACAGTTATCATCCTCAAATTGTGATAGCATATGATGGTATTTATTCTGCTTTTTTCACTTATAGTGTATCTTGAACATTTTTCAGGTCATTAAATATTTTAATATGATTTTAACATTGGCACAATATTTTTTATATGAATATATCAGAATTTAACATTTTTCTATTAAATATTTTGATTATTTCAGTTTCTTTTCCTATTATAAAGTTGCATTAAATTCCAGAGGAGACACTTTACATAAGATTAGAATTACGGAGTCAAAAGTTGGAACGTGTTTAAGGCTGTTGGTACATATCCCATAATGCCTTCCAGGAAGTCTGTGCCAATTTATACAGTCATCTGTGGTTATGAGTGTCCTGGTCACCTGGAACTTGGCTCATCTGACAGGCAGCAGCAGGTCTCTCTTTAATTTGGATTACTTTGATGATTAGTGAGTTTCACATGTCCTTGTATGTTTCTTAACTATTTTCATTTTCTGTTTATTTCCTTTGCCCATTTTTATACTGAAGACTTAGGTTTTTGTCAAGTTTGTCTTATTTTTCAATTTTATTGGCTCTTTAAAAAATATTAATTTCTTATATTTGTGAAAAGCATTGTTCCCAGCTTTTGGTATATCTTTTAATTTTATATGATGTGTCTATTTTTATGAAGTTAAATGTATTAGATTGCTCTAAGATTCATTTTGTTCTAATATTTTTATAGTTAATTTTTATAACTCTTTAATCAGTCTGTAATTTATTATCATCAGGTTGTGAAATGAGGACTAAACATTGTCTTTTTTGTCCAAATAGAAAACCAGTTGCTTCAGGATCATTTATTGAATTTTTAAATTTTGTAATGTCTTTATCATAAGCTAGATTTACATATGTGCTGAAGTCACCGATGAATATTT